TACTATTCAAAGAATCTTCTAAAACTACTGGAAATCTCACAGAGAAGACATCTCCCACTATGGGAAAGGTTTCATCCACTGTTAGCTAACTGTAGTCCACACATAAAAATCTGCAGAAAGGACACATGATTGTTCCCCAAGTTTATCAAGATATTCAAGAACATAAGGCTGTAAGCTTTGACTTGAACTAAGCAGAATAAACAAAGCAACCATAAGTCAAAAATCTTGCTTCTAGGGGATTTATTTATTCTGCTTATCTCAAGACTCAGTTAAGCAGAAATTTGAAACACTTGGATCTTGGCTTCCAAAATATATTGATATAACTGATTTCAAATAAGCCTGTAATCTCTATGTATGAACAGGTAGTTTTCTGGACACACTTCTTAACCCCGATCTACATGAATGGATTCACAACCATGAATTTTGAACCTTTGTGAGGCCATAGGATTATTACAAGGAATCTGTATACCCATTATCTTCAGTCTGAATAAATAATGTATCTTACAAATATGTATGAGCCATATTTCAACTGGATGTAGATTCTGGTGTAACTAATAAAGACAAATTAATTCAAAAGCATTACTGAAATCATGCAGCTTTTTGTTATGGATTCATCAAAAAATATTAAAAATACAGCTGTCATCTTGTTGCAAGGGAACCTAATAACTTTTTGACCTTAAAACTGGTAATTAGAAAAGGTAAAAACCACAAACCTACATCCCATGATTCACAGATCTAAGTATCCTAGTTGAAAGAGGAAAGGTAAAATATAGACTCCACTTCTGTGGACATCATCTAAATGTAATTTGGCAGCAGAACATAAAGGTTATGTGTATAAAATCTTACAGTTGATTGCCTGTAATTCCACTTGTCTGTGGCAGGTATGAGAGATCAAAACCTCATAATGTCCTTTGGATCAGACAAGGCTCTGTTTGGATCCTGAAAAGTTGTACACATTGATCCCCTAGTTGTACACACTGTACTCTATGCATCCTATTTTAAATCCTTGAAGCAGCCCTATGGCTCCCAGCCTGAGTGCTGAGACACTGACATTACTGCAAGCTAGGATTTCCCCCTACAGGATAGCCACTCATGATAAGCTTACCCCATCAAATCTTTCCCCCAACTCCCTGCATCAGAACTTATGAGATTCATTTTGGAAACTCTCAGTCAGAGTACACTCTCCTACTAGTTGCCCTCGACTCCCAAATCTCCACTGGATTATTGTTGTAAACAGCACTTTTATCTTCTGATCTCTCTACCACAGAGGCCAAAGGGAGTTCTTCCCTAACACCAAAAAGTCTATTTGAATACCAGCCTTGCTCCTTCTCCTAAAATCTGTCTTCACTCACAGATGTCAATG